GACTCTTGATCGCAGGGTTGTGAGTTCGAGCCCCACGCTGGGTGCAACGACTACTTCCAAATAAAATCAAAAAGGAAAGAAGAAAAGCAGTAGCACAAAGTCATGGTCGTGGGCGGGTCCCGTTTCCCAGGTGACAGGCGGGGTGTGCTCCTGGTCTGCAGCCCCGGGCTGGGCGTGTCCGCTCCCACGGATGCTCCCGGGGCCGTGAGACGCCCACCCGGAAAGGGTCCAGTGTCGCATAGACCGCGCTGGTGGTTGAGTGCTCGCTGTGTTTACCACCACGTAGCATTTTGATGCCTTTTCCTTTCAGACTCTTCTCTACATTCTAACTTTTTACAAAGTGGACACTAAATGTGCAGTTTTGTATCCTACCTTTTTTTTTTTTTTTTTTTTTTTTTTTTTAACGTATCCTGACCATGTTCCTAGTCCATGATTTCAAAAACCTCCATAGGACTCCACTTTGGAGAGACCATTCTTTAACCGTTTCCACATTGTTGGAGTGCTGGGCGGTCTCCGTTCTCATTCTCTGCAGATTCTTCTGTACACACATCTCTTGGTCACCTGGATTGTTTCCTTAGAATAGATTTCTGAAGTGGGGTTATTGGATGGCAGAACTGCTGTGGGCTGTCAATACAGATTACCAGATGGTGAACTGAGCGGCTCTCATCTGGGACGACTCTGGAAATAAAGCTCTAAAAACGGTTTTCTCCCACGGGATGGATGGTCACAGGGCAGAGATCCTGTCGGAAACAGGGACCGTCTTTGATCCTGTCGGGAAACAGTTGTTCTCCCGGGAGCTGCGTGCTCCATGTCAGATGCGAAAGCAGGCGAGGCGTAGGGTTGCCCGCGTGCGGGGAAATGGTGTCCTTGATGTGCAGATTATCCTGACATTAAAATTGTGGCCCACGGGTGACTGTCAATCGCCATGCAATCTAGGGAATGTCTTTGTAAAGCCGCCACTGCAGAGAAACATACGTCTCTTCCTAAATGCACCCTTGGCAGAGCTGTCTGCGTGGGTGGTTGGGATGTGTGGTGTCAGACGGGGTTGACCGGAGTGGCTGGCGGTCTGGCCAGGAGCAGGGGCTCGGATGGGCCAAGTCAGGGTGACCTGCCCACCCCCGTTGCTCTCTGGTTGTGGCCCTTGGTGTTTGGGTTACCGGCACGTGTGCTCGGCTGGCGGACTGTGACACTTCTGTCAGCCTAGAGCCGAGAGTGGTGGCTGCGTGACGAGCAGATGGGAGAACGCTGGAGGACTGGGTGTCAGGAAACCTGAGCTCTTGCTCCAACGCTGCTCCAGATCTGCTGTGTCACCTTGAGCAAGTCGGCACCCTCTCTGAGCTTTGCGCTCCTGTCTGTAAAGAGAGGCTTCTGGGCCAGGGCCCATTTCAACTGAAAAGACCTAGTGGTGGGCATGGATGGCCCTGAGGAGGAGGGCCTGTGCTGCCCTGTGATGGTTTTGAGGGTTGAGCGCCGCGTGCAGGCCGGGGCTTTCCACCTGAGAAAGCGTTCACAGCCTCTGAACACACGAGGCTCCATGCCGCTCCCTGGGGTCGACTACCTTCCTCTTTCTTCCCTGTTTGGAAATTGCCACCTGACCTTGGAGCCCCAGTTCAGATGTCGGCTTCTTGGCATCTCTGAATCCTCAGCACCTGGCCCGGCACGGGCCATCGGCGGCGTGGATTAGCGTGTCCTTCCCTAGAGGCACATGCCAGCTACCACGTGCGCCCTCGTCATCGTGTCCCGCCCCAGCACATGGTCCCACCCCTGTTGCAGGCTTGGGGGTAACGAGTGAAATACATGAGGTGGAAGTAAGGGTTGGTTGAAGGTGAGTTGGCTCTGGACCCCCGCTGTCCTTTGGCAGTGCTGGGCCCCCGGCTTGCTTCCTCGCTGTGCTTGGCCCTTTGTGGAATAACACAGGGTTAATAAACAGGCTGCCTTTGTGCTGTTAGGGTCCAACTGTTTGGGCTTCCACTGTATGCTTGGGGCCTTCTCCTTGGTACCGGGGTTTTTGAAAATAACAGAACCAAGTAAACTGAAAAGCACACAACAAAACGCTGTCCTCACTTCTAAATTCAGAACGTACGTGTGCTTACTGGCTTCATAATAGACTTTTCTGTGAGACTCTCTCATTTCATCCCTTTACTTGGGTTGGTGGAAAGTGTGACTTCGGGGCAGTGGGATGTGGGAAACGGAAGGGCTGTGGGGTTAGAATTGAGAAAGAAACAGAGTCTTGTCCTGCCGTGGTCTCAGTGACTTGGAGCCTCATTTTCCTAAGTCCCTCTCACATGAAGGATTTTGGGTTCTGGATCATTAATACAAACCAGAGTTTAAGATATATTTGAACATTGGGGGAGGCAAGAGAGCGAGCTCTTTTTAGAAAAACAGCTTTCACAATTTCGTAAATAAAAGCTGATAGACCAGTTTGGGTTCCTTCCAGAAACTTTATTCCCAAGCTATTTATTTTGGGTTCCTATTTTAAGTTTGTTTTCGGCAAAAGAAAAATAAAGGCGCTCAACTACTTTCTGTTCTCTAGTAGGAAAATCTCAGAACTTTGGGCGATCTGGACCAGTGGGTCAATCAGTTAATCTGTATTTATGGAGGGTTTACTGTGCTCACAGTGGGGCACCACACTGCTGTTTCAGGAAGACACAGAGAGATACAGGGCTACGGTCTTTCTCAAGAAGCTACCAATTTGTTTGCAAGGAGAGAAATTTGTGTTAAAAACCCCAATGACGGGCGCCTGGGTGGCTCAGTTGATTGAACATCGGACTTCAGCTCAGGTCATGATCTCGCAGTTTGTGAGATCGAGCCCCGCGTCGAGCTCTGTGCTGACAGCTCAGAGCCTGGAGCCTGCTTCAGATTCTGTGTCTCCCTCTCTTTCTCTGCCCCTCCCCTGCTCATGCTCTGTCTCTCTCTGTCTCAAAAATAAATAAAAACATTAAAAAATAAATAATAATAAAAAAAAAACCCAGTGAGATCAGCGTGAAGAGGGTCCCACTGACCTAAGTTGGGACAGTTTGAGCATCAGAAATAATGACTGCAGTGGAACAGAACACTTGAGACGTGTGAGATCATGGTGATCATGATGGACCAAACACTTCATTGATGACGGTTGGGGTTGCTGGAAGCAGCACGTTATTTTGAAGATTTGTAAGGGAAAGAATGTTTTAAGACATAACCTATACGAGGCAGTCGATTGAGAAGCTCCAAGCCAGGGATGACAGGAGGCTCGTCATTCTTCCTGGTGCTGCAGCGTGAAGGCTTGCTGTCTGTCCTGCATCGGGTTGGCTGACGACCAGTGAAGACAAGGCAGGTTCCTCTTTCCCCCAGGTGGCTGACCATGGGAGGCAGCCCACAGAGTGGACAGAGGGTGGATTTGACCCCTGCCCCACCTCTTACCAATCGTACCATCTTGGGCGAATCGTATCACCCCGCTGAGTTCCACCTCATTCAGAAGGTAATAGGGATGATAATGTCAACACCTGAGTGTTACCAAGTTAAGTTGAACAAAGGCTTTAAAGGCCACCTGGTAGGCATTAACTGAAGGTGAATTCCCTCACCCGGTGAGTGCCCCGTGCGTGTTCACTTAGAGCGGCACAGGCACCATTTTGAGGGGCTCCCCGCTGGCTCCCAGGGCGACTTAGGTCTCTGCATTTCTGTTTTCTCCCACCCAGTGGAATGACCTCAGCACCAGACGTCTGCTGTGGCTGTCGCTCCCTTCCAGAACCACACTGGAATTGCCCATGTCTTGACCACCAACTTTTGAAATAGTTCTAAAAGAGCATGCGGTTGGAAAGGAACTGCCCTTCGCTCTTAACCGCATGTGCCAGAATCACAACTAGAGTGAACTACGAGGTATAACTGATCCATCTCTGAAATGGAATTTTAAAAATCAAAAACTTGGGCACGTGGTTTTGGCGAGGCAAGCCTTCTCCATCAGTGACACAGACACCAGTGCACAGAACCCTGGGCCCCCCCAAACAAGCTGGTTTGAACTCTGGCTCGGCCACTTGCTGACTCTGTTTTCCAGGACAACTTATTTGATCTCTTTGAGTCCCGATTTCTTTTCACCATGATGAGAAAAAATGCATATGTCTTACAAAGTTGTCGTGAGGAGTGGAAAAACATAAACTGTGCATCATACGAATGACATCTGCTGTTGCTGACTACCAGTCAGTGCTGTTGGGTGGGGGCCGATGTCAGCCACACTCTTCTTTGATTCTCCCCTTACCCTTGTGAGTATTGCACAGCAGATCTCTGACCTTCCGGTTGCTGAGACATTGTGTCATTTACTCACCGGAGTCACGTACGTGCTCCTTCCATGCCACGGAAGGCATGGGCCTAGAACCCAGATCTGAGGGCTCTTCCTGCTCTGCCACACATTCTTCAGGACCCATATGTGTGTTTTTCTGTCTTGTTTGCTGAGTATAGTCTCAGAAATGCATTTAATTTATCCAGAACTCTCAAGTCCTTTTCTGAAATGTCAAAGGAAAAAATAAAAATAAAAACAAGGAAAAAGGGCTTAAACAGTGAAATTAATTTTCTCTTCTGTTTGGTAGACTCGTGTCGGAAGCCCCTGAGGCCACCACTGGGGGTCCAGGGCACAGCGCCTCCCTGGTAAGGTGGGCGGGCACACCATTCAGGGGTCATGGGAATCTGGCTCAGGGTCAGGGGTGGCCCATCACAGACAAATGTTCCCCTTGCTTGCCATGGTTTTCAGGCCCAGGTATTGGCATTGGCTGGCAGTGGTTTTCTTTACCTGAGGAATAATCTGGGGGCTTTCCCTCCCTGTCATCGTGCTTGTCCTTTGGGATCCGTTGCCAGCACGACGGGGCATTGTCAGGACGGCAAAGTGATTTCTGTTCCTGGTGCACCTTGACTTGTCTCAGGTTTTTGTCCTGCTGATGTGTTCAGTTTTATTCACAACTAAGAAGAGCCTGCTGAGGACGGGAATGGAGAGGTTGCCGTATTAACCACGCATCTCACCTTGCTGCCCGTAGCTCACGTGGAAAATGAAGAGCAGTACACCCAGGCTCTGGAGAAGTTCGGTGGCAACTGTGTGTGCAGAGACGACCCGGACTTAGGAAGTGCATTCCTGAAGTTCTCAGTGTTCACAAAGGAGTTGACGGCACTTTTCAAAAACCTGGTAAGTGTCCACATACACATGCAGCTCGTGGGCCACGTGCGACATGCCTGCTGTGGCTTTATTTTTCTATTTTACTTTTTAAAAATTTGTCTTTAAAGTTTATTTTTGAGAGAGAGAGAGAGAGAGAGAGAGAGAGAGAGAGAGTGTGTGTGTGTGTGTGTGTGTGTGTGTGTGTGTGTAAGCAGGGGAGGGGCAGAGAGAGATGGGGACACAGAATCCAAAGCAGGCTCCAGGCTCCAAGCTGTCAGCACAGAGTCCGACGTGGGGCTCAAACTCACGAGCCCTGAGATCGTGACCTGAACCGAAGTGAGATGCTCAAGCGACTGAGCCACCCAGGTGCCCCTGCCGTTACTTTAGATGGAAAGGTAGCTCGGTAGAGGATAGTTAAGGTTTGTTTGATGAACAGGAATAAATTTCATAGCTCAGGTGGTACCTAAAGGAATTGTATTTTCCATCACATTAGGTCACTTTGGAATACATTTTAGAATTGCAATTTTCATGGTCACACGGCTTTTTAAATTCAAGTCAGCCTTTTAAATATGCACAGCTGTGGGACAAAATGGATAAAAGCATTCATCTTCTTAAGGGCCTCTGACTTCAATTTTTAAGTTTCTAAACTATGTAGAATAGTCCTGTTTCTGGTAATTATGGTAGGCATTTAAACTTAACAATATTTAACAAATATGTTTCAGGCCTGTCTTACACAGCAAGGTAACCTATAATCAAAGCACAGAAATTGCTATGAATATTTAAAGGCCTTTTATGCTCCCAAATGCAGAGCCTAAAAAAAGTCACTGAAGTACATGGAAACATGGAACAGGCACTTCTTGCCTGCGGTAGGTGCTGGGGAGCCGGGGTGAATGGGGTTCTTTCTCGGGCTTGGCAGCTCTGTGCCTTCCCTTGTGGGAACAGAGTCCCGAACACGTGGATGGCCCGAGAGGGTGTTTGTGACCTGCCGCCTGGTCTCTTCCACAAGGGGAATGTATGCCAGGATGGTCCCCGCATCTCTTTCCTGTTTCGCTCCCCCAAGGTCATGGGTGACCAGAGCAGGTCAGGGTCGCCAACAGCAGTGCCTTTCTCATTTCTCCCATCCGCACGCGAATTACAAGCGAAAAAAGTAGCTCATCGTTCTTGGAGTGATGATGATGGCGGGTTTGTACGTCTGGCTGGAGGAGGTGGCAGGGAGGGGACATTGTGTATGAGCTAATAAGGGAGAGGGGAAGGAACCAGGTCCTTAAGGCTCTGTCTTCACTTGTAAAATATTTCAGTTAGGAACGGTAGCACTAAAAAGCCATTACTGTACTTGAGTTTTTTACTCACGTTAATTTGAATCTCGTGGGGTTTTATCAATTTGGTCACTCGTTTCTTCGTGCTCCAAATAGGCTGGCAGCCAGCACCTCGAACAGGGAGCTCCAGCCCCCCATCGGCCCACTCCCTGGACCCCGGCAGACATGCTTATTAGGTTCTCACCACTGAGTCAGATTGGAGCTTTTTTTTTTTTTTAAACTGGAGAAGGGGCACCTGGGTGGCTTAGTTCATTAAGCACCTGACAATCGATTTCAGCGCATTTCATGATCTGAAACTCAGAACTCTGATCTGAAACATCAGGAACTCATGTTCATGAGTTACAGCCCTGCATGGGGCTCCTTGCTGACCATGCAGAGCTTGCTTGGGATTCGCTCCCCTTCTCCCCCTGCCCCTCCCCGGCTTTGTCTCTTTTTCTCAAAATAAATAAATAGACATCAAAAAAAATTTTGAAACTGGAGAAGCTGAATGGTCCCAGGGAAGACCTGTGGGGGTCTTCTTGTGACACAGGCCGCCTGCAGCCCACTCTCCCAGCGCCCCTGTGGGTCCACCCCTTCCCTGCTCTGAGCTCCTCGCTCTTGAGTAGGAGCGAATGGCCTCCAGAATGAAAGACCAAAATAAGCAGAAGAAAGGACTTAGAGGAAACGGGCAGCGTGAAGGGCAGAAGAGAACTTTAAAGAGACTGCATTTAATGCCTCAGAGAGATCAGGGTAGACCTTGTGTCAGAGGGAAGGGGCCGGGATGCAGCTTATCGTTAAAGGACAGAGACGGTTGCTGTGAGAAAATGTAAAAGCAAAAATCCAGTGAGAAGGTTGCAATAGAGGCCTCTCAGAAAACCGATCAAAAATAAAGCAAAACAAAAACATGGAAAATAAAAGACGAGATGAGGATTCAGAGAGAATGGAAAACAGGAGGGTGTCGTGAGCATAACAAGGTGTGGCTGGTCTCCAGATCGAAGGCCGGCCAGTGCCCGGAACAGTGAGGGAAGAGGACCCACCCCAGGTGACCGGTCTTAACGCTTCAGAAGGCACATGGTGGATTAAGAATCAGTGGTGTCGGGAGCACCTGGGTGGCTCAGTGGGCTCGGCGTCCAGCCCTTGATCTCGGCCCAGGTCATGATCTCATGAGTTCGAGCCCCGTGTTGGGCTCTGTGCTGACAGCAAGGAGCCTGCTTGGGATGCTCTCCCTCCCTCTCTGCCACTTGTGTGCTCTCTCTCTCTCTCTCTCTCTCTCTCTCTTTAAATAAGCATTAAAAAAATCAGTGGTATTGGACATCTCAGCAGGAACACTGGAATTTGTGAGGCACGGAGCAAGGCCACCAGTATCCTGAGGAGCACGATTCTAACCTGGAATCCCAGCAGCTGCGCACGGGGGTAGAAGCAGAGACACTTTCAGACATGCAAGGCTCAAAAAGTGTGGCGCCAGTGCGTCATTTCTCTGGAACTCCTGAAGGACGTGCTTTAGCAAAATGAAGAGGGAAGCCAAGAAAGAGGAAGATGTGTGAGTCAGGAAACAGGATCCAGCCAGGAGGGAGGCGGTGACAGGGACCCCAGGAGGACGGCGAAGGGAATGCCAGCAGGGCCTCCAGCAGGGGCCTCCCCCTCACCCAGGCAGCTACTCTTTATCTTCATCCGGCTCATCTCTACACCTGGCTTTTCTCTGCTCTGAAATGGGAGAGGACGATGGATCTGGAGTTGTGTGTGTTCGTTTTGTTTTGTTAGAGAAAATGAGACTGAGAATACCATACCCAGTCTTGTGTGTGGAATTTGCTGGTTGCTTTATTTGTCTTAACTTACTTCATCTCTACAACAACCCTGTCGAGCGAGTCCGTGTTCCCCCTGCTCTGTAGGTTATATGACCGAGGCATGCGGTGGGAAAGGAACTGCCCTTCGCTCTTAACTGCATGTGCCAGAATCACAACTAGAGTGAACTACGAGGTATAACTGACCCATCTCTGAAATGGAATTTTAAAAATCAGAAACTTGGGCACGTGGTTTTGGCGAGGCAATCCTTCTCCATCAGTGACACAGACACCAGTGCGCTTAAATAAAACCGCCCCTTCTTTTCCTGATTTTCTGCAAAACTGAGGGCAGGGCAGGGCCCGGACCTTGCGGACTACTGCTCCGCCCACCACCCCACGGCTTTGCCACCTTGAGCACTGTGGGAGTCCCGGCAGGGCCCCCGCTTTCTGCAGTAAGTTGTCAGCGGCCATCGTTAATGAGCACCCATGGGGCAGTAACCCTGGCATGAGGCGTTAAGGGGACACTTGTTCCTGCTGGTTCCTTCTGTTCCTGACTGCTGTGGGAGATGGCTTGTGTTACCTTCATCTGATTGGCTTACCGGGTCTGTAGTGATCACGCGACAGAGTTGGGATTCAAATCCAGGTCTTAAAACTCCAAATCCAGGGGCACCTGGATGGCTTGGTCAGTTAAGCGTCCAACTCGATTTCAGCTTAGGTTGCCACCGCACGGTTCGTGGGTTCAAGCCCCGTGTCAGACTCTGTGCTGATCGGGATTCTCTGTTTCGTTTTCTTTCTCTCTCAAACAAAACAAAACAAAAAAACAAACACAGCTCCAAATCCATACTGTGTCCACTGTGGCATTTAAGGAAATTGAGCCTTCTTGTCAGCTGTTCTGGAGAGGAAAGGATCGAACAGGAGGGATGTAGAGGGAAACGCAGGCCAGGCTGAGTGGCAGTGGCCATGAGGCAGCCGGGTGGCCTTGGTTTCCTCATTGTAACACAAGGGTGGGAAAACCAGGCCTGCCTCAGGGCCAGCACCAAGAGGAAAGAAGTAAGCGGGAAAGGTTTTTTGTAAATTAAGCCCAGCACACAGTGACATCTTAGTGTCGTTCTGAGACGCTAACTTCAGTTCTGGTCACAGGAGCTTCCTGTTAGCGCAAGACTGTGTGCGTTCCTTTAGTTTCAGCTTTTACTTCGTGGAGTTGGGGTTGTTGATCCTGTTTCTGGCAAAGATCAGAGAGAGAGGGAGAATGTCTTATTGGTACCAAAATTAGCTTCAGCATCACCAGGCCTGATTTTCCAGGCCGGCGGTGACGGCAAAGCTGCCCGGCCACCAGAGCACCAAGAGGCCGCTTCTAAGAAGCTGTTGCTGAGAGCGAGCTGATTACAGGAAAATTCTCCTTTTTTGGTATTTTGTATACCATTCTTATTCCTATTTTTGGTCACATCTGTCCTATCTCTTATTTTTACAGCCTTGCTCTTACTTTCTCTCAGGCATTTAAAAACATTTCAGTTTTGGGTGGCTGAGATTGTCAATTCTCCCCTTGTCCGGACAGAAGAATTACCGCCTACCTGCTTTGTGGTGTGAAAGGATGTTTATAAAGCCGTTGGAACATCTCCAAAGAAAGGCCAACTTAATATAAAGTGAGATCTTGTTACTAAGGGGTGAGATTCTCACCTTCAGAGAGCCTCTGAATTTTCTCTGTAGTTAATGCAGAAAAGGGGAGAAACAAGGCAGCTCCAGAAATGTAACATGTGTGAAATGAAGCTGGTTCTAAACTCAGCCCAGTTTTCTTAGGTTCTTCTTCCTCTTAGCAGATGGATGTGAGAATCCTGGAAAGATTTTCCAGGGACCACTTCTGTGCTGAGAGGTGGCTTTGCATTAGAGGACAGACTGCTGAAAGGTCATCCCCAGACACGGAGTCCCTGTGTCCTCTTTCAGAGAATTGGTAGTG